ACAAGCATTGAGCAGCAAGCAAAATTGGTGCGATGGTGATAGCAATAGCGAATGGGAATTCCAGCATGACAGGTCCACACTCCCCCTAAATTCCAGGTCATTGATGGACATGTCAGTTCGGCCTACACAATGATGACGACTGAAGAGCTGAACAGGCAGCACTAGTGCGAAGAAAATGACCAGGCCAGTGATGCCGCGTCGCCCTGCCCCTGCCCCGGTGCACTGTATTTAGAATGGAACAGCGGAGGCTCTCATCACTGACATGCCAATCACATCACGCTTTGGACCTACATTACCGGCCAGCCCGCTGAGTCCTTTCCAGGTTTGGGCAACAGGTTGGACGCCCCCTGCATTTGCAATGTTGTTGGTGGCAGCAAGGTACGACTGGACCATGTGTAATCGGAGTTCCTATTCGCCAAGGGTGTACGCCGCGATGGCGATACTGTGTGTGCACGTATCAGAGTACCATTCCGCGGATTGCCCACCACTGCACGGTATGTTGTAGATCGATTCGTGTGTGAGCCCGAAGCCAAGGACGATTGCGCATGAACTAAGCCAGAAACCCGCATGGCTCTTTCTCTCTAGCAATGCTGGTCCCTCTTCATCAAGACTACCCAAGAGACGTGATCTTGATGCGCACAAGGTTGGCCGGAGATAAGGTCTACCGGTAGATCGTGCCCTCACCATGGAGGACCCACTAATGAGGCACTGTTGACACAGGACGCTATCAGTGCACTGTGTGGATCCAGACAGCGGAGTTTGGGACAGAGTGGGCTCAACGGGTGATAATCCGGCAGGGGCACCAAACAGTGCAATGAATGGATTAGTCACCTCAGATGAGTAGGTGTGCACCAAAACCCGAATGCCAAGTTGTTGATGCCCATGGCTCAGGCACGGTAATGCGCACTGTGATATAGGGAGCAAAGTTTCAACATAGTTGCAGTGGGCTTGACGAGCATCACAATGCTCAGGGGTGGGCTCTGCACGTAGAACAGTGATATGTGATAAATCGCACTGTTCCTGACGGCACTGGACGGAGATACCGGACGAGCTTGCAAGTTCTGCTGCTCGCTACCTACCTCTCCTGAGCGAACCTCATACCAGGTCTTGGCAGATGGAATCCCTCACACAGTACGGCACAAGCACTCCATCGTTACTGGCCCACCATCATTCTTTCTAGCGCGCCGAGTGCCCCCTTTGCCCGTGCCACCCCCTGCCTCGCGCCTCCCAACCTCGATCCTTTCCTCTTTTCCTGTCCGGCTGTCTGGATTCGCATTTCCATCTTCATCCGCAAACCCCCTTTCCTCCTTACCGACCTGGAGCATCTTGCATTGGATGCTGCACGACCATCAACCGCGTTGATTGTCTGTCAATTCTTTCCTGTTGCCACTCTCTCTCTAAAAATTGCCTCGTCTCGATTCGTCGCCAGATGAGCATATACAGGCAGTCTCAAGCCTAGCCTTTCGCTCCCATCGCCACTCGTTTGACACGTTGAGGAGCAGCGACCGCATCGTCCCGGACTCAGCAGCAAGCACCAGACGCCTCGCTCGTTCCACTAGAACGCCCAGCCAAACAAATCACGACAATCTTCCTTATTAAACCCCCAAGACACAATTCCCAGCCGACCTGCCACGCTTCCGCGACTTCCGGTACCACTACATCCACGCTTCGTGTCAAATCCGACAGCAGCTGAGGAGTCTTCGCCATCATGTCGGGCTATCCAGCCGGTGGCCACCAGGACTACGATGACGGCTACGGCCAGCAGCGTGGTCAACAGGGAAATCCGCAAGGTAGCAATGCAAACGATGGGTACTATCAGGACAATAACGACCAGTACTATTACGACAACCAAGGCTACGACACTCGTGGTGGCCAACAGGGCAACGATGGGTACTACGACGAATCGTATGTTATAATCAGACCCCCTTGCATTGATCCATCGAGGATTCCCAGAGTGCCAGGCTAACATTGCTCAGGGGCTATTACAATGCTGACCCCAACAATCCCTATCAGCAAGATGGCGGTTACTACGACGGCCAGGACCAGTACCAGGATGACTACTACAATGGACACAATGGCCAGCAGGGACAAGGCGCGTATTACGACCAGGACTATAACCAGGGCTACGGCTCAGGTGGCCGACGCCAGGGTTCTGAAGAGGACTCTGAAACCTTCAGTGACTTCACAATGAGGTCCGACATGGCTCGAGCCACCGATATGGACTACTACGGTCGTGGGGATGAGCGCTCCAACAGCTACGGCGCTGATCCCTCGGGCGGCCGCGGGTACAGGCCTCCCTCGTCTCAGATCTCGTACGGCGGCAACCGCTCTTCTGGCGCCTCAACTCCCAACTACGGCATGGACTACAGCAACGCCCTTCCTGCCGGGCAGCGATCTCGTGAGCCGTATCCTGCCTGGACTTCGGATGCCCAGATCCCGCTCTCCAAGGAGGAGGTTGAGGACATATTCCTGGACCTGACCGCCAAGTTTGGTTTCCAGCGTGACAGCATGCGCAACATGTACGATCACCTCATGACTTTGCTCGATTCGCGTGCTTCTCGCATGACCCCCAACCAAGCGCTCCTGTCCCTTCACGCAGACTACATCGGTGGGGACAACGCCAATTAGAA